GTGCATATTTGATTTTGATCTATTGATTAGCATGAAAATGATGAACGTGTTGTATTTTTCGACAAGAACGATATATTTATGTTGAGTTAATGCACTTTTTTTCAGAGATTACAAATCTCAATAAGAAAGTAAAACAAATCACTAATGCGTAACATAATTAGTGTATCACTATGTCATGTTATTGATTGGGCGTGGTAATTACAATGAAGCAAAAAAAGTACATTCTTTTTCTTTTTTTGTTCCCTTCAATCCTCAATTCGACGGTGACTATATATAAATAAACCCCACACAAACATTATCTTACACACAACAAACAATCACAACAACAATATGGTTAAACTCATCATTCTCATTGCTCTTGTAAGTTTCTTTGATGTATCCTAGTAGTAAAATCTTTATCATTTGTTGACTGTAGGTATATTTGGGGTTGGTCTCAGCTGGTGGTTTTGGCAGCAATAGAGGAATAGTTGGTGATATTCATCATGGTGGTTCAATTGGAGGTAGAGGTTATGATAACACAGGAGAATCGAGACTTTGCGCTAATAGTACCGTAGTTCAATCATATGTCAAGCAAACTCAAGCAGTTATTACGCAACTGAACAACAATGGCTCCTTCACAGATTTCTTCGAAAAACGAAAAGAAGAAACGTCATATTTACAAAATGCTGATAATACCGCAGTTCTTACATCAAATTGCACAAAATACTTCAAAGATTTGGATGCAGCTCGAACACGTGACAAAATTGCCCAAAATCAACGAGATCGATATACAGAGATCGCCAATCGTCTCTTGGATAACATTCTTGACAAATGTCAAACTCAGTTTAGAGATTATGGTCGTCGAATATTTCCATCAGTGCACAAATATTAGCTCTTCTTTCATTAATTTTTTGTCATACAAAACATGCTTTTCATCTTTTCAATATTGAAATAAAATATTAATTGTCAATATTTTTTCTCTATTCGATCACTCTTTGTTGTTTTGATAGAAATAATGATAAATCGATAGTTTTCATAATTTTGTTATTCCTCAAGAGAAGAGATAGAGAAAATGACATTTTATTTTTACATTAATGTTTAATATTTATATTGTCCCCGAGAAGTTTCTATTATCGATTATTTACAGGTTGTTATTGGCAACGTTGCATCGAAGTTGTTTTCTCACATCCATTTCATCATGAAGAATAACACAAATCTAGATAGTTGTCAAGAAAAAAGTTCTACTCTTGAATAAAGATCATCATTTCAATACAGAACAACAATTACCTAAACAAATCAAAGAGCCATTCGATAAATGTTTGAGAATTTCATCAAAATAGGAAAAAACCAATATCAGTGTAAAATAACGGGAATTTTATATGTTTGCTGAACATATGAAGAATCATGATCATTGAAAATAGATATTTGTCATGTTACTCTACTCGAGATCTAAATTAACTATGATAACATCTAGGAATTCAGTTGAATCTTTTTGAATGCAACATGCTAAAAACTACAATTATTTGTGAAGCAATCTGAATACTTACCCAACGATCGTAGTGGAGAGATGAGCTTAGTTTTGAAATATTCTCCATGGAATGTATAATGCAAGCATATCTATAAAGAAAATTGTTTCACTACTAATCGGTAATGTTGCGGTTGTGAATGTGAGAGTTCTCTTTCACTCTGACACTGCACCCATCTTTTCAATAAATTGAATTATTGTTGCTAGTAACTCTTTTTAATCATCAGCTTTTATTCAAAGAAAAATAAAACATGTTGAAAATAATACAGGATGTCCCAAAAATTATGATTACTTAACAAATGCATATGACTCCATTATTAATCAAACTTTATCTAATAATTTTTTTTATTTGAAAGAGAAGACAAATAAGCTTTTATTCATAAAGAAAAAGTTGATGAGTATTGTTCAAAGGTATTACCTTTAAATGTCAATAGAAAAATTTAGACGTTCCACAATTTCTGAAAAAATATTGGGTGAGCCATAATGAATGGTTATGCTTTGTATCCTATATTTTCATCACTTATTTCGCCTTATGAAAAAACTAAATATATCAAAAGATGCAGCATGAAAAGCTCTACAATTTACATACGATTACTTTGTTTTATAATTGCACTTTTTGTTTTCAAAAGCGACCAAACTCGAAGCAATTAAATTTGGATCCTGCGAAAAAGACATTTTTTTGGTACATGACGAGTTTATTTTTCCTAATTTCATCTTTTGTCGACTTTGAAAACAAAAAAACTATCTTGTGCAAATTGTAGAGCTTTTCTCGCTGCATCTTGTGGTATATGTTGTTTCTTTTAAACAAAAGATATCAGGTGACAAACAGAGGAAATAAGAAAAAACACATTCATCGTGTTCCAAAAGAAAATATCGTTTTCTCATGGTCAAAATTTGATCACTAAAAATTTGGTCCATTTTGAAAACAAAAAGCGCAACTATAAAAAAAAGTGTTCTTGTGCAACTTGTAGAGCTTTTCACGCTGCATCTTGTGGTATATTTGGTTTTTTTAATAAGCCGAAATAAGTAATGAAAATATAGGATGCAAAGCACAGGCATTCATTATGGTCCACTCAGTATTTTTTAGAAATTGTGAAACATCTAAATTTTTCTAATGACATTAAAGGTTATTACCTTTGAACAATATTTATTAACTTTTTCTTTATGAATAAAAACTTATTAGTCTCCTCTTTCAAATAAAAAAAAAATTATTAAATAAAGCTTGATTAGTAATGGAGTTATATGCATTTGTTAAGTAATCATGATTTATGGGACACCCTGTAAATATAGAATAACACATATTTATATTTGAAGATCTGAGCTAATATGATTATTTTTCTTTTTTATGAATAAGAAATCGTATTTACTTTCATTTGTTGTACATAATGTAATATGTTCACTAAGAAGTTTAACATTGAATACAATTAATATATTAAAGTTTTCATTATTTGAATTTATTTGTACGTATAATTTTATTTGAAAAATTGCATCTAATTATAAGTCAACAACTATATTTGCATGATATCTTGAAAGAACAGAAACAAGTAATCCTAATGAAGCAAATAAAAACGATATGTCTGGTAAACGATAATCTTCATTAAGAATTGCTGGTATTTGTGAATATAATGCAAGGAATATGAAAGATTTTCTCAGGAAGTTTTGAATATATATAAATGAGTTTTTAAATCAGGATGAATAAAGTGAAGATTAAAAAGACAAAAAAACCATGTTGGGTGCCGAACAACATTTGTGTGATCTGTTAGAATCACTTCGAATTCATCGAGTTTTTTTTGTCTAATGAAAGATTATTCATGATAATCGTTTGAGATTTTTTCTTAAATACAATCTACCAAGTTAAACCTACTGAAGAGAGGAATATTTCCAGATAGAGTCGATCGAGTTGGTCTTCGGTTGGATTGGATGCTTGTGTGAGTCTGAGCCTAAAAATTTTCTGTTAATCAAGTCGAGGTCCATATATTTCGGACTCCACGAACTCTAGTTGTCTCAAAGATGTGTAGGGCACACTAATCATCGAGCACAAAAAATTGGAAAAAGTGCTTTGTGTCATCTGAGCACCTATCCAGTTTCAATTAGGACATTTCATTGTGATTATCAAAGTATGATTCGACCTGATCTAACTCCGAGTCTCAATCCGAAAACTTCGAACCTGACCCTTCCTATTATTAACACTTTGTTCGGAGACAATTCTCTTCTGACTGACTGATAAGTTTAATGATCAGTGTTTTAGAAGAGATGGGCTAATCTCATACGCTTTACGGCAACTACACGTAAAGTCATTAGATTTCTTTTTATGGAAATATATATGAAAATAAATGCCTATAAAACAAATATTAAAGATCTGAACAATTTAAAGATAAGAATCATTCAAGGAGTTGAAGTAATCAAAAACAAATCGTTGTATAATGTTTTTCTAAATATAGAAAAAAGAACAAAATTTCTGTATTTCAGTTAGAAATAATAGCTTTCAAAGATATGTTTTTCAAGTTTACTTGTCTAATAAAAAAATTGGTATATAGACTTATCATTATAAAAAAATTACTTGATAAAATTGAATCGAATAGTAAAAATATCCTTTAAAAAGTTTTGAGAAGAAACTATGAAAATACTCTATATCGTTGTAATAATATATTAATGTTCCGAACACCTAAATAGTCATATCTTATTTATCCAACAATAATTAATCTTTTCTTTTTCTTTTTCTTTCATCTTAAATATTGAAAGCTATTTTTGATAAATGTCAATTGAATATATGATTGAAAAAGAATCTTCGATCGGTACAATAATTGAGACAGTACAAAATATTTTATGATTAATAAATGGTACTTCACAATTAATAGATAAAATATATTTGAAATTAAATCATATTAATAATGGTATACAATCATTTCTTCTTAATTTTCAAACAGCTTTGTTAATCTTCTTTTTAAGATATACCAATCATTTCTTTTGTTTTACTCAGGTATAATTACATTAAACAGTTACGTTTCGATTATAAAGAAAGAAAAAACATTTTATTGATTTACAGTTTTACTTGAATCTAATGAATTGAATTATTCAATACAAACTCTTATTAAATTAATTACTTGATATAAATGATAATACAATTATTTATTATTTCAAACTCCCTAATTTGTAATATAACTTAAAGTAATCTTTCTCAATTTTGTATTTGGTCGAATGCGTTTACATGATATTAATGATTTTTATCTTAGAAATAATTCAACACAACTTTCAATCAATCAAATTACTGCTTCAATTTTATTACATGATAGAGTCGATAGAATATTTAATGGATCAGAATTATCATATGATATTACATGGAAACTAATAATAATCATAAATGAAATAATTTAACAAACAAATGAATTCTGCATATTATTGATCATATCAACTTATTCAAAATTTTCGATGTCATACCGACTTATTCAAAATTATATCATTCAAAAGAGCACAAAAAGCTGAGCAAAGCGTACTAGTTTTCTCAAAATCATACTCCCAAGTCTCTAACAAACATTTTTTAAATAGATTTTGAGCAAAAACACCAAGACCCTTTCTTTCTCTCTCTCCCTCTCTCTGAATGATCTACTTTTTTTTGTCGTTCTTTCGTTTTCATTGTTCTACTTGACACCTACACAAACGTATATGCTTGTTTACCAGTCAAGCAGAACAAAGAAAACGAAACAACGACACAAAAATAGGTCATTAAGGGAGAGAGAGAGAATCTTGGTGTTTTTGCTGAAAATCTATTTGAAAAATTTGTGCTCGAGACTTGGGAGTACGCTTTCAAAAAAATACGTACGCTTTATTCAGCTTCTTATGCTCTTTCGAATGATGTAGTTTGTATTGATTTGACACGAGATTGAAAATTTTAAATAAGTTCATATATTTTCTTTCATAGACTTTACATTAAATGTGAAAAACGAGGTTGTCCATTTATGTTAAATACACAAACTACCATCATGACTTGAGAAAAAGAAGGTTATTGCATTGAATTGACATCTACAACTTCTCTATTTATTGTTATATTTCTTTGAAATAACGTTTCATCAATGATGTTGACTTCTTCTCTGTATAATATGCATCAGATAAAGTAAACATACACATCTACTACTTTTTTGATAAATAACCGCTTGAAAAGCCATTAAATTGTCTAACACTATTAGATGGAAAACATACATGATTCATATAAAAAGTGCTAACATTTTCTTACATGGATTTATTTTAAATATCTACTTAAATAAGCTATTCAGTCTTATTATTATGAAATGATCATTTAACACTGATAAAGAAGAGAACTCAATTCTTTTTTTTT